CAATAAACAACAACTTTTTTATCAGCATGTAATTGATTTATAGTGATTATATTAATTAATTCTAATTTTATATATTTCGAAACGGATTTATCAAAAGTAATAACATCTTTCTCATCTTCAGTGTTATATTGAGTAATTCTATAAGCCTCCATGTTCTTACCCAATATCTCTGCTCATGCCTTTCGCCAATTCTTAAAATTGATTTAACTTTTCCCTTCACTAAACCACATAAGATCTTGTGACCTGGAAGTTTTTTCTTATCTCATTCATACTCTTTTGATAGTATTATGAGCAATGTTAAGTATGCGCCCCTAAGTTCATACAACAATTTTAACATTTTCTCTTCGTATACTTAAATTGATTATATTGTACTTTCCATTCTTTGAAATAGTTATCCAATAATTCCACATTGGTCGAGTAAGAAGGTAATAGTTGAAGGGAAAAATTAATCACATTGATATCATTAAAAATGTTAAAATTCGTGATCAGAAGACCTTCTATTGATCTGTTCTTTGAAAAAAGTTTATCACCATACACTATAAATTGATTTTTTTGGACAATTTCAAAGTTATCCTTTAAGAGGTGTGCCTTATTTTTTTCAATTTCATTCGTGGTGGCTATGGAATTTATTTAAAGGAATTAACTTTACTTAAATTTTTGGATAATTATCTTTGTGATAACTTATTACTTATTTGCAATTCTTCAATTGCAGTATCCAATGACGTTGATTCGTCTTCTTACAGTTATCAATGAAGATATATTAATTATAATTTTTAACTATGTTGAATTTGAAAAAATGACGGTTTACGTACTATCAGAATCAGTTTCGGATGAAGAGGCGTGTTGTATTTGTGTTTTTTCTTTTTTTTTACATGAAATATTTAACAAGACCTTACACTTTCTTTTTTTTGATTTCTTTAAAAGCAATTTCTTGTAAGCATAAAGAATAATTTTTAGAATGTTCAAATGTTAAGCTTTTGAAAAGGCGAATTTATACCTGGTGATCGTCGTCTTCTTGAATTTCAGATGATTGCTCATTGACTTTCAATGATTCACTATTGTCATCAATCTCATCCTTGGAGTCATCAATTTGTGATGGACTTCTCTGAAGTTTCAAATTTAATAATTCCTTTTTTTTAAATTTGTTAATTTTATAATGTTTTAATCCAAACATTTAAATTGCGTTGATTTCTTTATGATAATGTACTTAGTGATAATTAAGGTTTAAATATTGGAAAATTCTTTTTTGGGATTAAAACGATAGGATATTTACTCGGAACATTTGCCATTCCATCATATGTACGCTTTAAATTATCAAGAAAAAAAAGGTTAAATCTGTTACTTGCAAAATTCGAGTATTAAATAAATAGATTTTTGCCTGATTATCTTCGTTAGGAATCATCGAGCATTAATTCCTCATTTTCCTTTATTATTATTATTATTAGATTAAATCCGTTACTAGCAAAATTCGAGTATTAAATAAATAGATTTTTTACCTGATTATCCTGAGAATCAATTTGATCATTAGATTGGTCGAGCATTAATTCCTCATTTTCCTTTATTATTATTGTTGTTATTAGATTAAATCCGTTACTTGCAAAATTCGAGTATTAATAATAGATTTTTTACCTGATTATCGTTATCCTGAAAATCAATTTGATCGTTATATTGGTCGAGTATTAATTCCTCATTTTCCTTTATTATTATTATTAGATTAAATCCATTACTTGCAAAATTCGAGTATTAAATAAATAGATTTTTTACCTGGTTATCCTGAGAATCAATATGATCGTTAGATTGGTCGAGCATTAATTCCTCATTTTCCTTTATTTATTATTATTATTAGATTAAATCTGTTACTTGCAAAATTCGAGTATTAAATAAATAAATTTTTACCTAATTATTTTGAGAATCAAGTGGCTCTTGTGATGATATCGAATCATCGAGAATTAATTCTTCATTTTTCTTTATTATTATTATTATTATTGGGTTAAATTACTTGCAAAATTCGAGTATTAAATAAATAGTTTTTTTTTACCTGATTATCTTGCATTAATTCTTCATTTTTCTTTATTGTTATTATTATTTTAATACAAATTCTTTATATTCAATTTAATATTTTTTTATTTTTTATACATGGTTTTTTTCTGCATTTTCAACGTAATTTGTCTGTATTACCTCTTCCAAGGAAACATTATTAATAGGGGATATCAAATCGTGAATGTCGCTATCTACTATCTTTTTGTAGCTATTTCCATTTAATAAAATTGTGTCTGGTTCGTTCAGATCCTTGATTGTTGTACAACCATGGTTTAAAACAGTTGTAAATTCTAAAGGTCCAACGAAAGTTGCTGATAAATCATTTACATTCCAAAACAATTTAATCGAAATATCGATAATTTCTTTTTCAACCATTGTAACTTGAAAATTTTTTGAGAGAAAAAAAAAAGGTTTACATCATATTTTAGATCTAATGTATTTATAATAATGATTTTTTGACTGACGTATTTAAATTTTTGGCTAATTTTATCATTATTAATAATTTTGATGTATTTAATTTTTTTGAATTATGTGATCAACTATAATGAGTGCGTGCCAGCAACTAAGATTTTTTTATTTTCTATTTTTATAATGTTCATCTTTAATTTTTCTTTCAAAACAAAATATCAACATGGTTTATTATGTATTCATAGGCACCAAAATTAGAGATGTGACCAAATATTATCCTCCGTGATCAGATTTAAAAATGATTGAATGCATCATTCAAGTCCACCCATCATTATTATGCCAATAGGCAACATCATGTGTGTTGACGGAACCTATTCGTATGCAACCATGACTTTGCTAACGCTAAGTAGTTTTGGAAATATTCATGATCATCATGTCCCTCGTTATGGCCTGATGCATGGCTGTAAGTCAAAAATATAATGATAATATTACGGATCTAATAAGGTACGGGACTTAAAATTAAAATTTCAAATGATCCATTGAAATATTTTTTTTTTTTCACTAATTAAGAATCACCTATTTTTCGTATCGTTAGTCCATCTATAGATGGGGTGAAATTACTCTTCTTAATAAGAAGTTTTGTTGAAATTGTGGAAATTATTTGATAGTAAAATTGAAAAATTAATTTAAATTATGATACAGTAATAAATTTGCTAACGTGAATAAAAAATCTTTTATGATCCAAATGGTCTTTTAATTTTTTAAGTGCAATTATTAATTCACTGGGTTCCCACTT